GAATTTCAATCATTTTGATATCTTACGATCAAATGAAAATTTTGCGCACACTCTGAATTCGTGTCAGAATTTTAGTTATTTTAACATGGTGACATCAAATAAAAATTTTGCGCACACTCTGAATTCGTGTCAGAATTTCAATCATTTTGATATCTTACGATCAAATGAAAATTTTGCGCACACTCTGAATTCGTGTCAGAATTTTAGTTATTTTGACATGGTGACATAATAAAAATTTTGCGCACACTCTGAATTCGTGTCAGAATTTCAATCATTTTGATATCTTACCATCAAATGAAAATTTTGCGCACACTCTGAATTCGTGTCAGAATTTCAATCATTTTGATATCTTACCATCAAATGAAAATTCTGCGCACACTCTGAATTCGTGTCAGAATTTTAGTTATTTTAACATGGTGACATCAAATAAAAATTTTGCGCACACTCTGAATTCGTGTCAGAATTTCAATCATTTTGATATCTTACCATCAAATGAAAATTTTGCGCACACTCTGAATTCGTGTCAGAATTTTAGTTATTTTAACATGGTGACATCAAATAAAAATTTGCGCACACTCTGAATTCGTGTCAGAATTTCAATCATTTTGATATCCTACCATCAAATGAAAATTCTGCGCACACTCTGAATTCGTGTCAGAATTTTAGTTATTTTAACATGGTGACATCAAATAAAAATTTTGCGCACACTCTGAATTCGTGTCAGAATTTCAATCATTTTGATATCTTACCATCAAATGAAAATTTGCGCACACTCTGAATTCGTGTCAGAATTTTAGTTATTTTAACATGGTGACATCAAATAAAAATTTGCGCACACTCTGAATTCGTGTCAGAATTTCAATCATTTTGATATCCTACCATCAAATGAAAATTTGCGCACACTCTGAATTCGTGTCAGAATTTTAGTTATTTTAACATGGTGACATCAAATAAAAATTTTGCGCACACTCTGAATTCGTGTCAGAATTTCAATCATTTTGATATCTTACCATCAAATGAAAATTTTGCGCACACTCTGAATTCGTGTCAGAATTTTAGTTATTTTGACATTACATCAAATAAAATTTTGCGCACACTCTGAATTCGTGTCAGAATTTCAATCATTTTGATATCTTACCATCAAATAAAAATTTTGCGCACACTCTGAATTCGTGTCAGAATTTCAATCATTTTGATATCTTACCATCAAATGAAAATTTTGCGCACACTCTGAATTCGTGTCAGAATTTTAGTTATTTTAACATGGTGACATCAAATAAAAATTTTGCGCACACTCTGAATTCGTGTCAGAATTTCAATCATTTTGATATCCTACCATCAAATGAAAATTTGCGCACACTCTGAATTCGTGTCAGAATTTTAGTTATTTTGACATGGTGACATCAAATAAAAATTTTGCGCACACTCTGAATTCGTGTCAGAATTTTAGTTATTTTAACATGGTGACATCAAATAAAAATTTTGCGCACACTCTGAATTCGTGTCAGAATTTCAATCATTTTGATATCCTACCATCAAATGAAAATTCTGCGCACACTCTGAATTCGTGTCAGAATTTTAGTTATTTTAACATGGTGACATCAAATAAAAATTTTGCGCACACTCTGAATTCGTGTCAGAATTTCAATCATTTTGATATCTTACCATCAAATGAAAATTTTGCGCACACTCTGAATTCGTGTCAGAATTTTAGTTATTTTGACATGGTGACATCAAATAAAAATTTTGCGCACACTCTGAATTCGTGTCAGAATTTTAGTTATTTTAACATGGTGACATCAAATAAAAATTTTGCGCACACTCTGAATTCGTGTCAGAATTTTAGTTATTTTAACATGGTGACATCAAATAAAAATTTTGCGCACACTCTGAATTCGTGTCAGAATTTCAATCATTTTGATATCCTACCATCAAATGAAAATTCTGCGCACACTCTGAATTCGTGTCAGAATTTTAGTTATTTTAACATGGTGACATCAAATAAAATTTTGCGCACACTCTGAATTCGTGTCAGAATTTTAGTTATTTTAACATGGTGACATCAAATAAAAATTTTGCGCACACTCTGAATTCGTGTCAGAATTTCAATCATTTTGATATCTACCATCAAATGAAAATTTTGCGCACACTCTGAATTCGTGTCAGAATTTTAGTTATTTTAACATGGTGACATCAAATAAAAATTTTGCGCACACTCTGAATTCGTGTCAGAATTTCAATCATTTTGATATCCTACCATCAAATGAAAATTCTGCGCACACTCTGAATTCGTGTCAGAATTTTAGTTATTTTAACATGGTGACATCAAATAAAAATTTTGCGCACACTCTGAATTCGTGTCAGAATTTCAATCATTTTGATATCTTACCATCAAATGAAAATTTTGCGCACACTCTGAATTCGTGTCAGAATTTTAGTTATTTTAACATGGTGACATCAAATAAAAATTTTGCGCACACTCTGAATTCGTGTCAGAATTTCAATCATTTTGATATCTTACCATCAAATGAAAATTTTGCGCACACTCTGAATTCGTGTCAGAATTTCAATCATTTTGATATCCTTACCATCAAATGAAAATTTTGCGCACACTCTGAATTCGTGTCAGAATTTCAATCATTTTGATATCTTACCATCAAATGAAAATTTTGCGCACACTCTGAATTCGTGTCAGAATTTCAATCATTTTGATATCTTACCATCAAATGAAAATTTTGCGCACACTCTGAATTCGTGTCAGAATTTTAGTTATTTTAACATGGTGACATCAAATAAAAATTTTGCGCACACTCTGAATTCGTGTCAGAATTTTAGTTATTTTAACATGGTGACATCAAATAAAAATTTTGCGCACACTCTGAATTCGTGTCAGAATTTTAGTTATTTTAACATGGTGACATCAAATAAAAATTTTGCGCACACTCTGAATTCGTGTCAGAATTTCAATCATTTTGATATCCTACCATCAAATGAAAATTCTGCGCACACTCTGAATTCGTGTCAGAATTTTAGTTATTTTAACATGGTGACATCAAATAAAAATTTTGCGCACACTCTGAATTCGTGTCAGAATTTTAGTTATTTTGACATGGTGACATCAAATAAAAATTTTGCGCACACTCTGAATTCGTGTCAGAATTTTAGTTATTTTGACATGGTGACATCAAATAAAAATTTTGCGCACACTCTGAATTCGTGTCAGAATTTCAATCATTTTGATATCTTACCATCAAATGAAAATTTTGCGCACACTCTGAATTCGTGTCAGAATTTTAGTTATTTTAACATGGTGACATCAAATAAAAATTTTGCGCACAGTCTGAATTCGTGTCAGAATTTCAATCATTTTGATATCCTACCATCAAACGAAAATTCTGCGCACACTCTGAATTCGTGTCAGAATTTTAGTTATTTTAACATGGTGACATCAAATAAATATTTTGCGCACACTCTGAATTCGTGTCAGAATTTTAGTTATTTTAACATGGTGACATCAAATAAAAATTTTGCCCACACTCTGAATTCGTGTCAGAATTTCAATCATTTTGATATGTTACCATCAAATGAAAATTCTTCGCACACTCTGAATTCGTGTCAGAATTTTAGTTATTTTGACATGGTGACATCAAATAAAAATTTTGCGCACACTCTGAATTCGCGTCAGAATATCAATCATTCTGATATCTTACCATCGAATGAAAATTTTGCGCACACTCTGAATTCGTGTCAGAATTTCAATCATTTTGATATGTTACCATCAAATGAAAATTCTTCGCACACTCTGAATTCGTGTCAGAATTTTAGTTATTTTGACATGGTGACATCAAATAAAAATTTTGCACACACTCTGAATTCGCGTCAGAATATCAATCATTCTGATATCTTACCATCAAATGAAAATTTTGCGCACACTCTGAATTCGCGTCAGAATTTTATTCATTTTGATATCTTACCATCAAATGAAAATTTTAGGAATTTATTAGGAAACTTATTTAGTGATCAAAGTACGGTAAATCGCATGAAGTGCATGCACACCATACGGGTGGCATATTAAATCCATTTCTTGTCTTTGGACTATCCGCTAGCGTGTTTTCATAAGTATTGGATTTCTCTAGGAGCGGCATTCATATGCAAAGTGGATATAAGGCACGAAATGCTGAACATAAAGTAACAGCTTGATCTTTGTCCATACCGACCTTCACCGGACTTTGCAACAAGTTTTATAACGCCGAAGACTTTCACTGTTATAATGCTTGTGTTTCAATATTTTCCATCATTACATAGCAACTGATGTATGTGTTTATCACGTCTGGGTGGTTTTGGAATATTTGATTTTAAGCATTGTATCCTTGAGCATGTACGTATGTAAGACATCCACTTTTCATAATGAATTGTACTAGAGGCCTGTCACGCGATTAGTTGAAAGCGGGGGGATGTCTCATCCAAATAGTTTAAGACTGATGGAATTCTTGCAGCTTTATAGAGAGTGGGGACTCCGTTTAAGTACACGTCAAAGAATATCTTACTAATATATTTATTTTGTTGGTGTGGTTAAGCCTATCCATATTACAGGCTTGATTCTTCTGATGACCTTGATGTCAGGATTTCCAGGATTGGAGCACTTTTGCCATTAGTATGGAGATAATTGGCTTTTACTTTTAATTACAGGATTTCCAAAGACTGGTCACAGTTGTTGATTTAGCTCTTGCGACTAATTGTTTAGGATAACTATATCCAGCAACTTCAAGTGACTTATGCGAAGTGATTTTACGTGTATTTCTTAGTTTCTTACGATGGTTGGCTATTTTCAGCTTTTTCGGTTTTCCCATACCTTTAAGTTTTCCGAGCGGTGCATGCAGCGTCATGTTGACAAATTTTCTAATTTGATTATTTACCTGAAAATCAGTCGGACTCAAATGCCCGGTGATTATGAAAATCGACGAATAAAGCTATAATAAATACAAGGTGGAACTTTGGAATGCGAAAATAGTAAATTTTAATTTATTGCAGCTACTTGGGACAAACTACCAATGAAAGGTAAGCACATGAATGTAATTTAATAAAAAATTAAGTTATATGTATGTGCCGTAATTCCGCAACTTGTGCTCCATTATTTTACCCTGCTCTTAGGAGGCGACGGTAACGATGCCATCTGGAACAGTACAATGCGCCGCAGCAATCACTATTTGTGTAGCACGTCTGGTTGATGCCGGCACAAGCCTGGGCCGCTGGTATTAGGGTAACTACACATTCATATAGTAACTTCAATGAAATATCAAGAGCTCTATCAAAAAGTAAAATTTTATGTTTCCAATGCTTACCAAAAAGCACCATTGCAAGCAAAACGGTTGCAATGAAACGAATCCTTGGAGTCATCATTATACCTTTTAATCAAAATACTTTTTCGGAAAGTATGTATGAAACGGCTGGTTATATTTAAGTGAAGTAAATAGTTTCTAAATTGAAAACCCGCTTACTGATCCACTTTTACAGATATACCAAATTTATACGCCACAATGCATCCCAAAATAAAGGATGTTTACTAAAATTATCTTATTCGAATTCAATTCAACTAGAAAAAAATTGTTGAGTTGCCAAGCGTGGGACTTATAATATTCTGAATTCATGCGGAGGCACACGTACGCAAATATTTATATTAACAGTTGCATATTAAATCGGATTTAGGGAATATGTAACAACTTTTTGTGTGATGGTGAGTTTTTGTATGCAAAGATATATAATGGTCTTAGAATTAATAGAAGTGAATAAAAAGTAACCACATAAATTTGCATATAAATATGAATGTGTGAGGAACATGTAGGGGTGTCGTGATAACGGGGAACCAAATGCGCATAAATCTTTTGAAGAGTATGCTGGAACTGATACATAATTTCGGGGAATTTTTTTTATCTTATGACTTAACAGCTTCTCTTAAATGCCATGCACATCTGCACGGAAACATATGTTCGAACTTATCCATTCGATATTAATATGAAATGTTAGGTACCTAGATACCAGCTTCATAAATTATGAGTCATAACACAAATAAATAAATCATAAAATAAAATAGTAACATGAATTTTTTACTTTATTTTATAGAAATTAACATATATATTATAAACTTAATTTATCTAAAACGTTGAAGATCTTAAACGGTCGAAAATCACACTCGCGCGTCTACGTGATTTATGTCAGGAATCAATAGATAAGTCAAAACTGCACATTAAAATAAATGAAACGCAGGCAAATGATTACGTGACATTTAACGTGTCGATGTCAATAATTCACTGCAGAAGTGCAGACCATAATGTATAACGTTTATTAAAAAGAACTTGTGTCCAAATTCATCCCCGGAGAATGCTTAAATTATCAATCTATGTACATCGATATTCGACAACACCACATTGTATAATTCTCATAAAATATTTATATGCACTAAAAGTAGCAAAAGATCCTTGTTATGCTAGTGCATATTTAGCGATTCCATCAACACAAACATGTTGTCAATTATGCTTAATAAAAATGCTAAATTATTCCCAAATGAAAATATATAAATTAGAAAATTAGTTGAAGATTTAACTATATCAAGTATCCCCTTTCAGAAGGAATTATTAATGCGTTCTAATATCTTCATCGAGTTTAGCAACTTGGTAATACATTCCTTAAACAAATTTTGTTTTACTTAAGTAAATTATATGTTTATATTTAACAATAAATAATTGACATTTTACGAAATAATAAAATTTAACGAATTTTGCAATTTAATACATATGTATTTTTCTAGGAACTCTGTCTAAATATGACGACTAACAACAAACATAAGTTTTTGATCGGAATTCTATGCATATTTCTGGTCTTGGGATTGGTTGGAATGGCAGAGGCCTGCTACAATTATGGTTGGAGGGGCTGTATCGGCGGATGTGAGGGAACACTGAAATGCATTGAAGTCGGAGGATTTCCGTTCACTACCTGCAGATGTGTCCGCGTCTAATGGTCGGTTTTTCCTGAGAGTAGTTTGTACTTCCATTTATAAATATTTGTACTTATAATTGTTTGTAAATGACAATGTGCAATATCAAGTGGTGTGACGGGATTAATTTTTTTAACGACACTATTCGCCACATAAAATTATGCGACGTACATTCAAAAAAATACCAAAAAATTCCATTATGAAGAAAAAATCAAATATGCTTGAATCTAAAATTAGTTTGAAACTAACAAAACCTGCAAAATACCCGGGTACCTATTTACAGTCAAGAAAACGCAGGAACTGAATTGTTTTCCACAAATTACAATATTGTCACTCCTTGCCCATCATTTAGTAAATACTTAATTGTCCATTCACACTATATAACTATTGAATAGAAAATAAATCAGTCCACTATCTGTAAGCAGACTTTGCTTTTAAGCAGACTTTTGTCGCGCGCGAGTATTTCTTTGCCCTGGGCGCCGACGTAAGGTTTATCAGTATTTCTAGATCGGGGTGTTGTACCGTATATAATATCTGGTCTTGGACGTTGTAAAAATACTTGAACACGAAGGACATCCACTTTCCATGATGATTTTTTGGGAATCCTGTCACGCGATTGGTGAAGGTGAGAGGATATCTCATCCGAGTAGTTGTTGATGTAATTTTTGTGGCTTAACCTCGAAGTAACATTTACATATAGTTGGTTTCTTAAGAACAACGAACTTTATATTTTAATCCTCTGGGTTTGGTATAACTTCACACAGATTGCATGAGAAAAAACATTTGGGTAAGCTAGGTTTAGCTTATGCTTTAGGGAATTGAAAGCAATTCAAAGATTTCGTGGAGTTTTCTGGGTCCAATGTCCAATTTGCACATTGGACATTATTCTTGGTTTCAAGATCAATCTCTTGATATCTGTCGTTTGGTTTGGTGATGAATTTGTCGCTGCTACTATACATAATTACTGCTCTATAGAAATGGAGTTGTCATGACTGAATTGATTCATGCAACGCGGTGGTATATTGTTCTTGCTGATTCTACCTTTTTCAACAGACGACACACAATATATTAGTAAGACTACATATAAAAATCCTGAACAATTACACTTCTGCAGAGGATTGGGAACTCGGCACAACGGAAATCGAGTTGGACAGTGAATCCCTTGTTAGTCATATCTGATCCTAAGCTATATCTGTATTATAAGCACACGATTTAATATGTAAGGGATGTGCAGAAGACAATTAAGCGGTTTTAACCTTGGAATATGAAGTATTTGATTCCAACCAACTTTAGGTTGGTTGGAACTTAGTACCCCTTGCACGTTTCTATATAAAGCAATACATATCTCAGCTACAAATACATAACTAACATGGGTGTTATGACTTATGGTAAATATAGAAGTTAGAATTTACAGAATATTTTGTTTGGTATGCTTGGCTTTTCAACCCTTCAAATTTTTTTACCTTTCTATTAATAAACAAAGGGCAAGAATATATGTAAATCATTCAAAAGTACGGCGTTCCACGAAAGCTTGATGGTTCTAAATTTGGAACGTATGTAGCTAAAAGTCTGTAGTGAGATTGTATGAGAAGGTTACCAACCAGACCTTAGTCTTCCTCTGGTATCCCATACTCCAGATTTAAGAAATAAACATCACGGTCTTACAAACTCTCATTTAAATACATTAAAGTACACTAAATACATAATTTGTTCCAAGTTTTAAAGTCATGCATTGCTGTAAAACTTAATTTGTTCGGACTAATTAAAATTGCCAAGAAGTGATAAATGCAAAAGTTTGAGAAGCATCGGCTATACAAATGTATAATGATTTAGAAACGATTCCCAAAAATAACATTAAATACAAATAAAACTAATACGCTCATTAAGGGAAAGTCTTTAACCATAATAACCGTTCCTAAATTTGTAATGGAAGGAAATCTAACAAAAACCTGGAGCTGTCCACACTGCTTTAGGACTTTTAAATACAATAGCAATTTCAGAAGACATTCCCGCATTCACGAACCCGATGGACACAAAGTAAAATGCAAGGTATGACGTAAAAAAGTATTCCGGTAACAATTTCAGTATTTCACACTGTGCTTAGAAAGCAGAAGGTTACGCCCTGTCATCCTGATTATTTTTGTCTCCGCATGGCCGTTTTTTATCTAGGGACACTTTTAATTTTAAAAATATTTTTTAACACTTTTGATAATATAATGCTTGTATGCGGATTATTTTTAATTCAAGTGAAGGCTTGACCTTTGACCTGATTTTGTAAAAAAATGTCTACCGCAGATTAGCAGATGTAAAAGCTATTGCTAAATTAACGAAGAAAAATCTATTCGCAGTGTGATGCTCAAAGGCTGTGCGCACAGTACACAGAAAAATTAATATATAGAAACTTCTGAATAAATTAAGTAGTCATATATTTGTTTACAGATATGTGGAAAAATCCTAAGAAATAAAGGTTCCCTTCCCAACCATGTGAAGTTCACGCACGACAGGGTAGGGAAAGAGGTGTGTGGTATTTGTGGCCGTACGATTTCTACTCCGGGGAACTTACGTAAACACATAAAGTCCATGCATGGGGCAACACAAAGATCTCGCCTTCCCTGTACTTTTGCTGGATGTACTAAATCATACACAAGTAAGTATCACCTTGCCCGCCACTTTGGAGAGGAGCATGTGGATACGCCCACCCGATACGGGTGCACTCTCTGTGAAAAGGAGTGCAAAAGCAGACAGGACCTGGATCGGCACATCAGCACCCGCACGACCGAACAAGTTATGCGGTAAAACCGCGGAAAAGGATCTACTTTTTCCAATACCTAACGTATTAATTCACAATCTATGAGCGCGAATTTTAAAAATCGCAAGATGTTCGTAGTCCAAGGTTGATGTCGAAAAATGTGTTAATCTAACTTGAAGCTTGTCATATCTGATTCTATTCAAATGTAGTTGGGAAAATTCAACAATATTAACTTTAAGCTTGTGGAGAAAATGAATACAACTTTTTGAAAATTTCAATGTAGCGCCTCAAAGAAGCCTTATTTCGAAAAACAGGTCCTAATGAGGGCACACCCCCTACATCTCAGGAATACGATTCAGATGAGATCCTGTCAAAAAAATCAAATTCGTGGTATGTTGTCTGTGAGAATGAAATGACACAAAATTTTGAATTTTCATGCTCTTGAGAAGCATTGTTTCAAGAAAATAATGTATACAATATTTGGCTATAGCCAAATGATCTGCGAATATGATAAGTTAATATTTGCAATGGTTCCCACCAACTGGGGGTATACTGAGATATTCAGAATGTGTTTTATTTAAAGGAATCTAAATTTTCAGAAAACCAGCGATAACTTTTCAAAGAAGGCGAATTTCGAAAACATGGTTATCTTGAGGGCACTGCACATTATCCTCAGGAATATGATTCCAGTGAGAATGACTCAAGAAATCGATTCTGTGAAAAATTTTCTCCAGCGAGAATGGAGCGCCCTCAAATATGACATTTTGAATTTTCCCGCCTTGGGGATGCTTTATTTCAAAAAAAGTTTCAAACGTTTGTTGTAGCCCAACTATCTCTGCATTTGACTCCGTCAATGGTTTTTGTCTATCTGTCACTCAGATCATTTGAAAAAATATTTTGCGTTGAGATCACGGCACAGAAATTATTGCATGTAAACGTGGATATTTCAAAAAGTTTTAGAAATTTTGAAAAACGGCATGCGTACCCTATCCCTCGATTTTAGAGATGGTCATAATGCCTTTAACCGAATTGCTCTATCTCTTAAGACAGACCCACACGAGTCCTCTCAAATTAACATTGGCTGCCGTGATAACATACTACCTCTTCCACATATACTTCCATGGTGCATGAAAGTAAATGGGGAAAAAAGTAGAAAAACCCTACAAGTGTCCGACCTGTGGGAAAAGTTGTAGCCAAATGAGTTCTCTAAAACTTCACATGGTAAATAAGTAATATCTAACCAGCTTAAGATGAGGTTATTTTTTGACAAAATATTCAAGTATTAAATAGAAAGAAATTGTGGATGATGACGAGGTTTTAAATTTTATATGGTTGGGGAAGTGAGATTTTAGTGTATGTAAATACAGAAATCTTATTCGTATAGCAGTGTCTCATATCCCCCCAAAAATTAAAAAAATCTGAGATCAACATCTTACTAAAATAATACCCATATCTAGTCAGAAGAGATGCCATCTTGCCATCTACATCTCTGTAGACTTATTTTTTTAATTACTGTTGGATATCTCAGAAAACAAAAATACTTTACATATTTTTACAGGAATCTCATAAGGATATTTCTGATCGAGCAGTAATGAAGTGCAAAATTTGTTCAAGAAGTTTCCTTAGCAAGACGGGTCTATGGATGCATCAGAAGGTTCATCACCTAACGCGTGAAATATATTTCTGTGAGGCTTGTAATTTCAGCTCATATTTGAAGTCAAGTTATACATGGCACTTTAGACAATTCCATACGGCTGAAAGGAAATACGAGTGTTATTTTTGTGGGGAAAGGTTCTTAGGATTTTTTCAATTAGTGCGGCACGGTAAAATTCATACGCTTGAGAAGCACGAAAAATTGTATATTTAAAATAAATGTATTATGAACGTGGCTATGCAATAAATTTGGACATTTATAAAAGGAAGTTTTATGACAATTTTATTTCAAACTTGTGTAACAGAAACTGTTTTATTGTTCGTTTGGTAATTTTTGTAGAGTTAATAATCTTGACAAGTTGGGAGTTTTACTTTGATCAATATTATTTATATTTCCGAATTCAGCATGGAATTTTGAACATTTTTATGTGTTACTATTTGAGTACCAATTATACATTAAGCCTATTTTTGTATTTGATTATGTTAAAAGTTAAATTTTGAGATGAAAGTTTAAGTCACATATAAAAATTCTTAAAACTTCATGCTGAATCATAAATTGGACCGATCTACATAATTAAATGTTGATTGCCACTAATAACATCATTATGTATCAGGGTATATGTGTAAAAAATTTCATGTATTGTCATTTTGAAGATATTTCATTTTAAAATTTTCCTGCAAGATGTGGTACTTATTTTATCGCCACCCTTTAGTATTTCAGTTATTTCATCCTTATATGTATTCTGAAGAACTTTGTTTCATAGTTCCCCAAAATCGTACAAACACCCACAGAAACCTAAAAACCCAAGCCCCAACAACCCCTATTGGGGTTTTCTACAAAAACCCCGGGTTTTCCGAACCCTGGCAGGAACAGATTGAAAATCTTTTTGCATAGACGACATCAGAAAATGGCTGATTGATGGATGGAGAGGAGGTGTCTGTGTAATTAATTAAGTTGGTAGATAATTACCTATACATGATCTTAATTTTAATTTACGACTTGATTTAATGAATCGATTTGACGCGTTGCAAGATTCTG